ACAAGGCCAGCACCCCCTTGGTGCCTTTTACTTAATATAATTTATTCTTTTTACTTCAAAAAAAAAAAAAAAAGCAGAAGTCTTGGTAGTAAACAACTTTACAGACTAATTGCAAGCTGGGAATGCAAGACATCTATGCACCTGGCTAATGTCTTTTAACAGAAGTTTTGGCAGTAAAGAACTTTATGGACTACTTTGCAAGATGGGCATGCAAGACATCTATGCATCATTTTGATGGGAAGTATTGACTACCTGCTCTTAAATGCATAATATACTAACATCAAACCAGAATATACCGCCATAAATCTAGAAAATATTTATTTGCCTTTTTGTACATTTTTTTTCATTAGATGTAAATCCCTTAATTATTTGCCTTCATTTTTGTTACCATCATATCTACTACCATGAATGGTAAGTGGCATATATGTGTGTGAAGAACCATAAGAATACAAGAACTCCACTTGGGAACCGGTTATTGATTCTATTGAGAGAAGACTTGCTGGTTAGAAACGAAAATTTTTATCCAAAGGGGGAAGGCTCACTCTCATTAAGGGTACCCTCACAAACCTCCCCATTTATTATCTTTCTACTCTTACCATCCCAGTGAAGATAGAAAGGAGAATTGAAGTCATTCAGTGTCGTTTTTTATGGGAGGATGAGGAGGATAAAAGGAAATTTCATCTTGTTAAATGGGAGGAAATCAAGAAACTGATCTTTAAGGGAGGCCTAGGAATTAAGTCTCTTGTGGAGATGAATGTAACTCTTCAAGGGAAATGGCTTTGGAGGTATTTTCAGGAAGAGGAGGGATTATGGAGAAAAATCATTGCTGCCAGATAGGGGAATTCTTCTGGCAAGCTGATCCTCGGGAGTCTGGTCAGACAACATGGCTATGGACTATGGAGAAAAATTATGATGAGTTAGACAAACTTCAAAGATTGTATCCAATGGCGTGTAGGCAATGGAAAGTATATCAAATTCTGGTCGGATGCATGGGTGGAGGGCAGCTGCCTGATGAGAAGATTTCCAAACATATATGCAATTGCCCAGGCCAAGAATATGAAGATTATGGACGCCTACAAGATCACCAACGGTAAGGTAGTTTGGACAGTCAATGTTACCAGACATTTAAACGATTGGGAGGTGAATGAATATGAATTGCTGCTACAAACTCTTGAACTCAGCAGATTAATAATAGCAGGGACAAGATTTTGTGGAAATTAAACAAGAGTCAGGTATTTTCTGTCAACTCTCATATTATGGGTATCAGCCAAGACAACGAAGGAATCTTTCCAGTTACACAGATATGGTAGAACAAAGCTCTCCCCAGAATGGCCTTCTTTGCTTGGGAAGCATGCAGAGAACATATCTTAACAACTGATAAATTGATGAAAAGCGGCTTTACAATGGCCAACAGATGCTATCTTTGCATGGGTGACACAGAAGCTTGTAATCACAGTTTGTTATAGTGCCCCGTAGCTTACAGCCTATGGTGTATGATCTATGGTTTACTGGGCATTAATTGGGTCATCACGGGGCCAGTTAGAGAGGAGGTTTGGGCTTGGGGTGAGATGTGTAATAAGAGGGATTTTTAAAGATTATTCCAATGACCGTCTTTTGGATCTTATGGAATGAGAGAAATAATAGAGCTTCTATTAGTAAAGAACTAGATATTAGCAAGCTTAAAGATAGATGGTTGCATTACTTCAGTTTTATTTTGTTGGGTCGTAACATTGTGAGGTGGGAAAATTTTGGAAATGTCATTGACATCCTAACATAATTGTAAATATTTTGTATACAAGTGATACCCCATTTGATACTTTGTTAATAATATTCTTTACACTTTTTATCTAAAAAAAATCTTCCTTTCCTCTGGTTCACTATCAGTTTCAAAAAATATCATAGTCTCCATGGGCGCAGGGTGAACTGAAAAAATCATGAAAAATGGAGGATAGAAGAGGGAATGCACTCTACCCTGTCATTTGGAGCTGCTGCATGCCCATAATGTAGAACTGAACTGTAGCATACAAAATGAACACCATTAATATGATACTTGTCATTTATTTCAAAAAACAAATAGTATGATACTTGTCATGAAGTAAAAAAAATTTTTTTTTTGGGGAAATATATGAAGTAAAATGATGCCAAATCATCTAATCTACAATATTTTTTTACTTGTTTATTTTGGAATGTGATTTTCTAGACATTTGAGTTATTTTTTATAAATAAGAGATTTGAGTTTACTTGGCTGTTTGGAATTTATGCAGACCCTAAAATGTTTCCTTATTATCTACTTTCCTGTTTTCCTCTCAAAAATAAAAATCCTTCTCAGTTGAGGTTAGAACATATATAAGAGTTTTTAATCTAATCAGGATTGGAATTTGTATTACTTCAATGAGAAAGTCACTTGATTTCTCTTCTTATTGGTTATACTTTGTTGTTTGTTCTTGACTACCTGCCAACTTGTCCTACTTCAGTCCTCAATTGCTATCTGAACTAGCTAAACTAAAGTTTTCAAAAACAAACCACCAAAAAATTCAACTCCTAAAAAAATCCTATTCTAAAAATAAAATAAATTCCAATCTCCTAAAAAGTAGTAAAAACAAGTTCCCTTATTTATCTTAGATGATTCTGCATCAGAAATTTCATATATAATGATGGTGAAATACTTATCAGTAAGTTCTTAAAGGTTTCCTTCCCCTTTTGTGATTAAAGTTGCTTGCTAAACAAGTATGCATCCAGTGTATTGCATGCACAGAATACATGAGAATGAGAAATGCCAACTGCACAGGAAGACAAAGGAGTCAAAAGTATAGATAAATCTTACCTATTTTCGCCAGTAGCACAAATACATGTGTATGAACAGTGCCTACAGCCACCATACATGTATATGTGGTGCAGAAACATGCTTTCCAACTGATACTCTTTCATGCCAACTCCAATTTTTCTCATAACCTGTGTTTGGTGGAAAAAACGAGCTAAAGTAAATGAAGAACATACATGCACACAGCAAAAAAAAACATGTATGCAGGCAAAAAAATATAACATGTAGTGCCTCTCACAAGACATGAATTAGAACCCAAGACAATTTTCTTTTACAGTAGAACCAAGACAAATTAATGATAAAGGAACTTCCAGGACTGATATACAGCAGAACATGCTAAACTTTACATTACTAAATATGAAATAAATGTATTTACTTATATGTCTATTAACAGTAGAAAATCATGAATATACTGTCCAAGGAACAAGAAATTTTGACAAACAAGTACCTGAATGTGAGCTTCGGAACTTATATCATTTGCAAATTGTATGAGAACAAGCTCTAAGTCTGACTTTATGACACGGCACTCGGTCAAAGTAGGATGCAAGATAGTCAAATCTATCTCAAACTTTTCAATGCCCTGGACAGGACAAAAGAAAAAACAAATGAAATCAACAAGAAATATTAAGTGTTCAATCTTTTACTGACATAATTCTTCTTCTTTTGAAAGTAAAAGGTAGAATAATATTTATAAGGTACCAAAATGATGCAACCTATATATAAAAATATTTACAAATCTCTCAAAATATCAATAAAATTGACCTTAATCAAAAAGCCTATGAGTCTCGAACCATAACTCCTTAACTCTATCAAAAGTAGTTTCTATGCCCTCAAAAGCCTTTCTATATTTTTCTTCCAAGTTGCCTTAAGGTAACCAAGGAGATAACACCTAAAGCATTCTTTGAACGTCTATCCCTGTGGATGCCTTCTCCAGGCCCAAAGCTCCTCTTTCATAGAACTAGCAATCACCTCAATCACCCCCATGATGCCACAGGCCATAGCCAAAGGCGGTAAGAGAAAGATCACCAAAGGAAAAGGTGATTGGCACACTGCACATCTCTCGCACAAATAGCAGTTATTTGCAACAATCTTTCCCCCTTTTAACTAGGTTTCAATGGTAAAAGGCAATCTCTTGCCACTTCCCATGCAAAAAAGCTACTCTAGGTGAGGCATTTTACCATATTTCTTTTCACATTGGTACTAGCACAGAGCTAAATGGAAGTAATAAGAAGGCCCCTTTTGAATTTAGCTTCTAGAGTGGCTCATCCAAAGCCTCAGTTGACCTCATACACTGAAAAAGAAAATGAAATAAGTTGACAACTTCATTCACCTCCCAGTCATTGAGGTTCCTGACAAGATCCACTGTCCAAACACTGTTACTAAGGGAACTGTGTCCCACCCTTCACCCCATTCATTCAATCAAAATCTTACCCTCTGGCCCAACCCAACTTTCCATCTAATGTAACCATGAAACTCCTCCCTCCTCATGCAAATTTTCTTCCAACACCCCATGCCATACGAAAGTCTAGAACTCCTAGAATACCGTTCCATAAAGTCTGCTCTAAATCTTGCATTGATCACTCTCCACTACAGGTTGTTCTGCTCCATCATGAATTTAAAAGGCCAATTACCTAGAAAGCTTTGTTAGACCACTAATATGATCCCAAGACATGTTTCTAGTTCAATTACGATTAAATTTTCAACATCGAAGTAATGAAGAAAAGAAAATTGCACTTGAGATCATAGCCATCACTCTAAGAAATTTACAAACTAGAAACATGGAGAAGAAGAAAGCATGATATGGTAGAACCTCAAACTCGGCAGGCTTTGAAAAGTTATTGCTATCAGTGTTAAGCCCATGCAAGAGAAACAACAAAGGGTTTCCCGATCCATTGTATTGATCATGCAAGACTTGGACAATCTCATCTGTATGGTAAACCATGTCGACCATGTATCTTTTCTGCAATGAAAGGATGCAAAAGATTAAAAAAAAGGCAAACATGCATTGGCACAATATATGACAAGGGTTGCAATCAAGATACCTGTAAGTAATGCAAAGACTTTATCTCCCCCAACCAAATGGCATAATCGGCTGGTAACCTAGGAGCAAATAGAATAGACTTTCCACTTGCAATGTCCTTCACGGATTAATAAGAAGACAATAAATATGTTGATGTCCAAATGTATTAGAACCTAATACTTAAATGAGCATTCTTATGCAAAAAAGAAGACTCAAACTGTTAAACCTGAACTCATTAGAGAATTAAGCTTTATTTTATTATTTATCATTTATACTTTTAACAAGCTGTCAAACCAGTGATGCTCATATATAAGTAGCATAATGAAGCTTAATACATGAAATGAACCAGCATAAATGCACAAATAAGAGATCAATCAATGAGCTTTGCATGTAAAGTCTTTGCAACAAATGGGTAATTACAGAAGATGGTGAGTATCCTAAACTTTGAAGACCAATAGCTTAAACTAATAGAAAAGGTGCTATATTTATTATCTACTTATATGCTGAACAGATTTAAGACCAGCTTTGAAGCACTGCATTCCAACCACAAAACTCTTTTAAAAGAAGGGGAAAAAAAGGGGAGAACATGCAGCATAGCCTGCCCATGCAAATCAAGTAGCCTGAGCTAATTTTATGACCATACCAGCTACATAGAAAAAATCACAGTGAAAGTTAATCCAATAGCATATTTTTGCTGGCCTGATAACAATGCATCTCATAATCGACTTAAAAGCACAGAATTATACCAATTATCAATAAAACGAAAGTTAATTCAATAATAGTTCTGCTTCTTGCTACAGAAGTAAGCAATCACATCAATTATCCAAGGCATCACTTTTTGTAGTATAAAACACATAGTTACCATCACACCGTAAGAGGAATTTTAAACAAAGTTAATATTTAAACAAACAGTAAAAAAGATAAGGACTAAAACCGTGGAGCTACATACATATATAGTTAACATCGTATGTCAAATAAATTTAAGATTTAAACAAATAGTGAAAAAAATAAAACAGTGAACTCACTATAGCTCCGTAGAAACCGGGCTCTCTCACTCCAAACAAATGAGCGAAATAACTCTCCTGCCTGTCAAATTAACAAAAAAAAATAATTAAAAACAAGCACAAGTCCAAAATAATCATAACAAAGGTCTGATGGCTCGCGTCAAAACCGTTCTGACTTAAATTCCAGATAATTATATACACCATGTGTGTATATATATGTATGCAAATGAGCGGCAGGCTACTAGTTGATTCCAGATTATTAATAAGAATGTGATCAATCCCTAAAATAAAACATCGTTAGCAAATCCGCGAATGTTACCTGAAAAGCTCGACGTGATCTGTGCAATAGCGAGTCCGCTCTTCGCCTCCCTGCGAAGTATTGATCAGGAAATTGACGTTACGAACACCAATCTTCGACACTCTATTCGTGCGTACGTATTTAAACACATGCATACACACATAGTTCTACACATAGGTAAAGTACCTGAAGGAAGACGAAGCCGTGGAGGGGGCGAGAACATACGGAGAGTTGTTGACGAATGTAGTTGAGGAGTTTATCTCGGTTCACAGCGTGGAGTTCCATGGGTACTGCCGGAGGGGAAAGGGACGATTCAGAAGAAGATGCCATGGAAATGGCTTTCCCTCGAGGCCCAGCCATCACCAACAGAAAGTATGCTGTTCGTCTCTATTGCGTCCACTCCATTCCGATACCAGTGACCGTTCGTCTAGCGAGAGAATGTTGACGAGCAATTTGACGCGTCTCTCGTTTTAAACGACGTCGTTTAATACGTTTAAATTGGTCTGGCTATTTTGGGCCTTTGGAGTAAGCTATTGAAACCCATGGCTGGGCTTGGGCTCTCTCCTAGTGAGAAATTTTAAGTTAAATGAGACCCGACTGATTTGAATGATAGTAAAGAGGTGTGAACTTGGTATAATAAACAAATTGTTTAACAAATTTTATACCTTTAAGTTTTATAAAATAAGAATAAACAATCCAAATAAAACACATTTTTTAATATTATGAAATAATTCTTTTACTGAATACTTTAATCTTAACAAAAATTAAATATATATTTCACATTAAATACATATATATAATAAGAATATTTTACATTATGATGTAAATATATATTTTATCACACAAAAAATAGTAATTAAACAAAATAAGATAAATATGATTAGTCTAATAACTTAAACAAAAATTATAGAACAAAGTGATACTTTTTGTATAATAAAACTAGAGAGTTAACTAAAAGATAAAAACAAAATAAAAGTAAGGAAAAAAAAGAACAATGATTTTGTTATAATTAAAAATAAGTTAATTTCAAATTTTCATAGGAGATAATAATATGATAAAACATGAAAATATAATTAAAAAGGATAATTTGGAAATAGATGGGATAAAAGTAATGTATAGCAAAATAAAACTATGTTTTAAAATAAAAAAAATTGCTTATAATTTTTTAAATTTTTGTGAAATTTTTTGTAAAATATGAAATACATTTGAAGTATTAATGTGCAAAACCTTAATGCCAGTTGTATATCTAAAATAACTTAAATTTGATAAACAATTTAGTTTGCTTTCCAATTTTTTCTTATTCAAAATAAACATAAAAATAAATGAAAATGTTCAGGCTAAATATAACTTTTTTTCCTTTATTTTTTTTCTATTTTCACTTACAAAGAAAAAAAAAATAGATAGATGAGATTGTGGAAAAGACAATGCTCAAGGAAAACACAAGAAGGTTATGTCTAGAGTGGTAGAGAGGATATAGAGGTAATAAGAAAAATAAGAAGAAAAAGAAAAGACCTTTAAGAAACTAGGGATAATGATCGAAAAAAGATAATGGAACTTTGAAGGGTTAAGAGATTTTGGCTGCTATAACAAATGTAACATTGAGAATAGTATGTTGATCATTCTTTTGTTATATTTCCTCATAAACTTTGAAAGATAATGAACTTAAGTATTGAATGATGATTACAGTTGATCTCAATATTTTCTAACATATTTTTGCAAACGCAATAAAAAAAAATAATTAAATGTCTTATGGTATAATTTTACTTTGGTAGTAACTAAAAACTACTTTTTATTACTCATATTTGTAATGACTCGCTTTCTCTGTTGAGAAATGAGCAATATTCTACACACATAATTTGATAAATTTATGCAGCAATAAATAAAAACTTAAGACTCAATCATCCCCTATGTAGAATTACAAGTCGTGAGACTTACAAAATTCTTTATATTGTATCGTTATAGGATAATTAAACTGATTTTATAAGACGAACTCTTACTGTTACTAAATGTTCTTCAAAGTCTTTCTTCAATCTAAAATTTGCTTTTGATCTGGACTAATCTGCATTAAGGGGAGTGAATTGAGGTGAGCTTCATGGACTCAATAAGGAAAATGAGCAGTGCCCATAACAAAGACATGCACACACTGAATCACAAAATCTCCTAAATCAATTTATTCAGTAAACATTCAGAATTCTTTATTTCAATATTATAACTCAAGACATAAACAATTTCATAAATAGCATAATTTAGTATTGATTACCACAATTTAAGTAATAAGTAGCTCAATAGATATTGATTTAATATTTCAGTATCGTAAACCTCACTTATGACTTTTTATTTCTTCCTATCAATTTATATTTTATTAAAAATAGTTTCATCGTGCGATGTCGCTTCTGTCAGCATTAACGAGAGTATAAGAATCTCCTCTACCACGTGAATACGTTGTAATTCAGTTTACAGTTCACAGTTGTAGTACACAGTATACAGTTCACAGTCCTTGTCGTTTTGCCACGTCTGGCTAAAGCTGTATCAACGGGTAAGGTTCACCACAATCACTCAGCAAAAGGCTACACACACACCTACCTCTTAGTGATATCGGTTAAACGAATTTTTTCGTCTTTTAAAGATTCTTATATTATTCTTTTACTGATCAAGTTCATCATTAGATGACCTACTCAAACATGCACTTACTTATTTATCATATATGTTATACATCAACATGCCTATACAATAAACATAATATATACACTTTATATATACAGTAATCAACTCAAATAAATATATATGTACATGCAACACATACAACATGAATATACTTATATATTTGCACAAGGTATATGTGTATTATATAAGCAAGCACATACAAGTTTTACTCATACATACATACATTATAACCAACAATTATACATATACATATATATCACACACACCTATAACTTGATAATTAGCATGCAATAAATCTGCATATATATATAAGTAACAATATGAATACAAAAATATACGTCATACACAACATTATGTATGTCTCCAATCATATACAATTGTACACACGCACATATGATAAGTTCAAAGAACTCGCTTTAGAAAACTTTAATAGTTTGTAAAGTCTGTACACAATTCATTTTAAAGGAAAACAAAGTTTTATAAAAACATATGGGTCTCTGAATGAGACTAACTCAATCCCTTATATCCAGACAAATCGAAAAGTGTCAAAATCGTTATTGGTTTGAGTTTACGATTTTCTCCAAATTCGGCATTGTTTAGGTAATTTCTTCGTTTATAATAAGAAAACACGTGTGTTAAATAACAAACACTTGCAAAAATAATTAGGATACAAAAATGGGTCAAGTTATTATCGTAAACACACGATCGTGTTCATTGGAATCGTCACGCGCCAACACACGCATGGTTCACCATGAACCACCGTGGGACCATCGTGCACCATTTTCAGAACCATCATTCGCTGTCGCGACTCAATCAGCAACCACTATAGAATGCCTCATGCATTCGGACTTGGTACAGGTACAGTGGAATGACACCAAAAAACACCATGGATCCCAGAATCACACGATTGGCCACTATGTGCAAGTCCCTTTCTCCGGGTAGATCCGCCATGGGTCTCATTCTTTCTTGCTTGCGCGCGCCACATCCCTTCATTTTTTTCTGGATTCATAGAGTCGTCGGTCACACAGATCCAGTCACATGCACCAAACCTGCCTTATCTCTCTTGCTCTCTCTCTCTCTACCTTAGTTGTTTTCTCTCTCTTCGTGATCCACTCTCTCTATCTATTCTTTTGGTTTTATCTCTCTCTCCTTTCTGATTTTCTTCTTCTTCCCTTTAATAAGTGGGAACAAGAAGGCTCTCTCACACTTCGCCTCTTCTATCTGCGACGAATTTTAAAAATGTATATGCCTCTTTTTCTTCTTATTACAGAGGCATGTTCGCCTCTGCAACTTTCTCTTTCTTTTTTTTTCTTTTCTATCACCAAAACAGTGTCATTTTAATGCTCTCAAAATGACTGTCATTTTCACCTCCTTCTCTTTTTCTTTTCTTCATATCAAAACGACGTTGTTTTTGAGATTTTTCAAAACGACATCATTTTGGCTTTTTATGCTTCTAAGAAGCAAATTGGTTGGATGTTATTTTTCTCAGGTCAGGTTGTTACAATGTTCTTACATTAATTCTTATTTCCAAATTACTTGGGCTCATTTTACGGACGAATATATTGACAAGTTCGCTTTCTTGCAAACTTTCCTCCCCTAAAATGTAAGCATGAGAGAAAAATCTTAAATAACTTATTATTTTACTATTTTCCCTTTTGTTAGCTACTATTTTAGCAATGGTTACCCTCCTTTTTAGAGTTGTTGTTTTTGTAATTTAGCTTTACATTAATCCAACTTTTATGCAAAAGTCTTAGTTAACCTCATTTTTTATCAACTTTTTTATTTATAATATAAATAGAAAATTGATAAGCAAAATTAATTAGCATGTTTCGTTGTATGGATGTCTTACTCCATGTCATCTTGTTTATTTTTCAAATATATTTTATTTATATGGACTTTTTAGGAATTTGACTTCTAACCTAATCATAAATTAGTAGCTCTACTTTCTGAATAGTTTTAGAGATTTATCGCATCACTATCATTATACTCTCCATTTTAAAGCTACATATATAATGTCTTTATTTTCGTTGAAAATGGTCAAAAGCTTTAGTAAAGTGACAACAAATTTAATTACTCTAACATTAGAAAGGCACCTTCACTAAACCAAAGAAGAACTTGGGACTAGAAAAGGCTTTTCATCCCGTGTTGGAATATGCACACACTTTAAAGATTACTACAAAACTAGGTAATG